GTGAACAATAAAAATAATAGAGCGTTTATGTCTCGGAACTATCGGTCTGATAGTTGCCCCTTGGAAATTTGATGTTCTTAAAACTAACATATTTGCCCTCGAAGCTTTCCTTCTCGCGCAAATATTTGTTTTAGGAACATAGAATTTCCGCAGGGCAACTATCAGCCGACAGTTCCTCGACAGAAACACTCTATTGTTTAATTAGTGTCTAACTACACTCCGTAGAATACAAATAACGCCATAGAAGAGTTCAAATCATCAATCCTTTTCATGCCTCGTGGCACATAGGGTCTCGGACGAGTACAAATATCACGCGGTATTTGTACTCCAGAGAGCCGGTTAGACAGGTTTTCTCGCATTGCGCAAGCGAAGAATTGGATTGAAGTTAGGAAAAAAAATGATGGACAAATTGAATCATATTTCTGACGACAAAGAGTCGGAACGGCTGGCAAATGTAGATCCGAGTTTATTAGATGAATCGAACGAAGAAAAACAGCTAGACGACCAGGAACGTTAGTCATTTATTGAGGAAAATAGAAACAGCAACATGACAACGCGCCAATTCCGTTCCGCTTCGCATTCTTCTGTCACGCACTCCTCGTAAATAAATATCCGCGAAATTCGCCCGCACTGAAAGAACAATTTGACGTGTTTGATAATAAATAAGACTCCTACGGGCTCGTCAAAATACGGCACAATTCTTAAAAATACTCAGTGATGCTACACAACAAAATGTCTAATAAGATATATGCATCGCTTCACTGGTTGTGTTATTTTTCATCTGTTCGACCACCCTCGTGCGCGCCCATCTCAAGACTCATCTCTACATAGGAAAAAAATTACTCGCAATTTTGTCTAATCTCCTCCGATTTTATTTGTAGAAAGGCACCATTCTGGACCGATTGAATGCAGGCGATATAATTGTCGGTGATGGGGGCATGACGTTTTGCTTAGAAAAGCGAGGATATGTGAAAGCAGGACCATGGACCCCGGAATGCACTGTGGAAAGTCCGGAAGCTGGTAAGTCCCCAGACAGACATAACCACTGTCATTACCTGAGTTTGGCAGTTCTCCACCCCCTCTCCGAGAGTAATTTCGGCTTTGTCTTTTTTTCTCGCTAAGTCGGTAGGGATGGGAGGAAGGGATCGACGAACGAAGCGGATCAAAATTTGAACAAGGAAGATTTAAGTTTCGCGAAAAGAATAGTTCAATAGTTTCGAAGTAGACGGACGGTATTTTTATTTATACACCCAGGCAACACGCATGAGTGTCAGAATATCTCTCTTCACCTCGCAAATTGACAAAATGGTGGAGAAAAGGAAATTACCGTCCATTCTAGGAGGCTATTGACCACTTTCAAAAATGGCTGCCGGATTGATATTCTTTTGTTTAAATTTAAATTAGCCTTTCTGGCCTCGTCCTCCAGTTCAAAATTCAAAAGAATGCATTATCTCAAGCGAGGCTAGTAAGGCTAATTTGAATTTAAACAAAAGAATATCAATCCGGCAGCAATTCAGGTCACGGCAATCGGCCATTTGGTCTCAGTAAAGACTAAATAAAGACTCACAGTTTTCATTTGTCCCGACCCACTTATTTGAGATGGTTGACATCTCTTCGTCTTCTTTATTTCGCGGACCTATTTTGTTACTTGAGTTCGTCAGGTGCATCGCGAATTTCTTCGCGCCGGAGCTGATGTCATTCAAGCTTTTACATTTTCTATGGATGATGAAGTCAGTGATGAGAAGGTATTTTTGACCTCCATTTTTAATTTTTATCTAGTAAATTTATGAACACACCTAGTTCGCCTTGGAAATCCGCCTACCTTCAAAAAGATTCTTCTGATGACCTCAGATCTGTGCAACTGCGCACCCACCCCTCCCCTAACCCAACAATAGTCAACTGATGACAAGTTAATTTGTTTTATCAACTAAGTTGAAATGGTAAATTGACCACCGTAACGAATAAAAAAGCTGACGTTTCGAGCGTTAGCCCTTCGTCAGAGCGCATGGAGGAGTTGTGGGTTGTATGTGGTTTTATATGCAGAAAGTGGAGCTACGCCATTGGTGGGAACATGGCAACGAGAAAAACACGAAATTAGTGGAATGAAAAGCGTTCGTTGATACCTGAGGGATTAAGAGTGCCGATTTGAAAGATTAACTT